ACGCGGGCGCTGTGCGTGCAGGCGGGGGGCGGAGGACCGTCCCGAGGCGAGCGGGTGAGTGCGCCTGGCCTCGGCCCCGGCCTCCCCGGGCAGGGCGGGGGGCGGCGGGCTGCTCCGTGCCCCCGCCCGCACCTCCCGCTGGGCCCCAGCAGCGGGGAAGTCATGAACCCCCTTCCTCCCGGCCGGCGGGTCCCCCCCACGCTGGGCCGGGGCCGCCTTATCTCCCCAGCCGCCGCTATCCGATGAAGGAGCAACATCCGATTCAATTAAAATTCTTGCTGCGAGCGGCCGCGAGCGTCCCGGTAGCTTTTTGTCAGGGAACCAGATCCGGAGCTCGCGATGACAGTTTGAGAGATGAGTGTGTACAGAGAGGCCTGAAATATTGCTATTTAATGGGGGAGGGGGGTGCGGGTCTTCCAGCCTGCTGCTCTGCAGCCAGCCTTTCCCAGGCCGGGGTGTCACTGCTCTGGGACATGCTGGGTAGGAGGGAGGAGGATTAACTCCTCCAGGCCCCCCTGCCTGGGCTGGGCTACGGGTGGACTTCCTCGTACAAAGAGCTCTTCAAATGGGGACAAGCGAGAGCTTGATTTCTTTCCAGGCATGCAGATGTGGAGGGCATGCGCATGCCCACTGCTGACCAGGCTGCCCTTTGCCACTGACTAACCTGGTTTAGTCAGGGGGAGAATCCTGCCTTGAGCAGGGGGCTGGACTAGATGGCCTCCTTAGCCTGCTTTCCTATGATCCTGACCAGGACACATCAGCCTGCTCCTTGCATCCAGGATTTAGGAGCTCCTGGCCCTCAGGCCACCTGGGTCCCCTGGCCTGGCCTCTCCCTGCAGGTGCAATGGGAAGGAGCAGTGAAGCCAGGCCTATCCCAGTTGGCAAAGAGCTGCTTGAGGGGGGCATAAGAAGGGTTTACAAGATACTGAATGGCCAAGAGAAGGGCAGTGGGGTTGATGATGGGGCTTGCTCTTACCAGGCAAGAACTAGGGGTCACAACATGAAACTTCTAAAACTAACAAAAGGAAGCTCCTTCTCACCCGGCTGTCCTTAAAGCATGGTGCTCACGGCCACCAGCGGTGGTGGAAGCTGGCAGTTCAGCTAGATTCAACAAGGATTGGGCATGAAGGAAAGGGGCATCGGTGCTGTTTGAGCAGGGGAATGAGGGGCATGGCCCCTGCATCAGAGCTGTCCCCACCTTAAATGCTGACAGCTACAAGTGAGAGAGGAACAGTGGAGAAAACCCTGCTCCTATCTCGTTCAGTCTCCCCTTCAGCATCCACTCTCTGCCCCTGTGACCGGAGACTGGGCAAGATGGGCCTCTGGTCTGTCCCAGTCCATGCCAATTCTTCTGTTCCTAAAGGGAACAGTGAGCTGCATTTTCGACCCCTTCCCCTTGATATTTATGTCAGAGACAAGGGTATTTTGAAAGGGTGATATATTGAATTGGACCAACTGCCTGGTTGGGGGAAGCTTTAGCGGGGCTTTGGAGCACAAAGTTGGCTTCTTCAGCTCATAATGAGGATTTTTTTTTGTTCACGTGGTGGATACAGGAACAGTGGTATTGCCTCTGGTCCAGCGTGTGGCCTTTCAGGGCAAAGTTTGCAGGGCAAGAGTATGAGGGTGCTCTCTGGTTTGTGTAACAAGTAACTTGCCCTCTTTGTGCCTTTGCTGGCCAGCTGCCCATCTCTAAAGGGCCAAGATGCTGCTGTCTCCCACCTCCCTAGGTGAGTCTAGGTGGAGGGCATGCGTTTTGGGGCAGGAGCTGGCTCCTAGAGTATCTGTTTTTCGTTGGTACTGCTCAGTGAACAGGGCAGATGTTACTGTCTGTTTTTCAGGTAGTCCTCCACAATTATTTCCTTCTTAATGAAGTTGATAAGGGATCTCTGGGACCAGAGTGGGATCTACATGAGGCAGTGTCTCACACAGGGCCTAGGCTTGGTTCCCCCGCAGTGATCAGAGGTTTATCCCCTTCCCCGCAGCCCTGGGAGACCTGCTCTGGGTCTGGCGGGGGCAGGCTCCCCTGAACCCAGTGTGCGTGTGCAGGGGTGTGCGTGTGTGCACGCCTGCGTGTGCTCCCGGAGGTGAAAGCCGCCTGCATATAAAATATTATTAATTGGAGCCCGCGGGGTCCGGATCACACCCTCCCTCCCAATCCCAGTGCCCCGGCTGCAAAGGTGAATGTGATTAATTGCGAGATAAGCCGGAGCGATCATTTGGAATGTCATTAGTGCTTCGGGGAGACATTCATTGGAGACAGACGGCGTTATCCTCCGGTTTATCTTCAACACTGCAGCACTTTTAATACCGCAGTTTAGAAACAAATGGGGGCTTTCGGCTCGGCCCTTCGCCGCGTGTTTATATTTGCGGAAGAATCGCACCGAGGGGGAGTCCCGGGCTCGGCCCCTGATAAATGAACATTAGCACTTTTTCGAACTACTGTATCAACAAAAAGAGCTGCAGGGCCGCAATAATTGGTGAAAAAGCAAACACTCCGCAAAGAGAGGCCGGGTCTGCTCTATGTCCGGCTGATTGATGAACCAGCCACTGACCCACAGCAGCTCAGGGGCTTTCCGGGTCGGGACTCTTCCCCCCTCCCCCGAATAATTGCCCCCGGCTCAGTGCCTAGGCCCGATGCCCAAGGCGGGGGTCGCCTAGCGCAGGGGAGAAGGGGCGCGGCGGCATCCAGCGGGCTCCGGCCTCCGCGCCGCGGCTTCCCGGGGTGGCAGAGCGGCTGTGGCCGAGATGTCCCGCATCTCTTTGTTCTGCCTCGGGGGGGGGGGGGGTGCGAGGCTCTCCAATAAAGTCAGATCCCCGGATTCCCTTGTTCTGGTGCCTTCGCCTCCTTTCTCCCCGTGCAGCTCTGCTCTCGGCAGCGACCTTATGTGCGCAAAGCCGGCCAGGGACAAAGAGCAGGGGCCGGCAGGCGTGTGCAGCCCGGGGAAGTGGGGGCGCGATCCCGAGCTCATGGACCCACGGGGGTTGCCCGTGTGCGGGGCTGGCAGCCGAGGGGTCGTCCCCGGCCTCGGGCGGTGCATGCGAAGGGGACTCGGGCCTTAGGGAAGGTGCTTGGCCGCGCTGGCTCCGGACAATGCCCAGCACAAAACGAGCGGGCGCGGAGAAGGAGCGAGCGTGCACCGGGAGAGGAGGGGATGGAAAGCATAGTCTGTCGCAAGGGGGAAAGAGGCACCTCCCTCCCGGCCACGCTCCTCTGAACGCTGGACGTGGCTGTGTAGCTCCCGGAGCCGCCCGCTGGATCCTGATTCACTCCCCGCCGTGCACACGCGGGCCCCCCCCCCCCCCCCT